CAAATTTGGGTGCGGCATGGTAACTTAGAGCATAAGTGTGGTTTGGTGTGATCTGTTGGCAATGTACGAATAGAATCTTTGATTCGATTTGGTAACGCATCTGGGCATGCAGAAAAACACTCCTTCATTGTGTGGATATAAGTATCGGGACCCCAAAAGAAGCGTTTTTTCTGCGTTTTTTTACTATTGTCGGCCTAGGATTTTTTTTGCAAACAGCGATTTTCCAGTGTTTTTTGACGCGAAATTCTGGCATAAAAGCATTTGGAAACGACTACGCGCCCGGAAAATGACCCCCCCACCCCCCCCCCCCCGCACACTCCCCAGACCACCAACGGTAGATCATGGGGGCGGGGGGCGAGCTTATATATATATATATATGTTTATATATATATATATATATTAAAAAAGTAGACAGAGAGAGAGAGAGAGATACATGTATGTGTATACATCTACACACATACCTACACATGAACATACTTATATATATATATAGAGAGAGAGAGAGACATCCAGACATACATTCACAAATATTTATAGATAGATAGATAGATAGATAGATAGACAGATAGATAGATAGATAGATAGATAGATAGGTAGATAGATAGATAAATATGTATGTACGTATGCATGCATGCATGCATGCATGCATGATATGTGTGCATGTGTGTGTATGCATACACACACACACATATATATATATATATATATATATACATGAATATACATATATATATATATGAATATACACACACATATTCACACACACACACCAGTATGTGTGTATGTACGTATGTATACCTATATATCAGATATCTACCTAACGTTTTTTTCTGTATCTATCTGCCTGTCAGTCGATCTATTTTTCTATCTGTATCAGCGAACCCTCCATATTGTGAAAGACAGGCCTTCCACTTTGCAGAGACCGTCTGCCAGCAGGTGTCGTCCCGAATGACCACCTTAACCCGAACAGAGTGTCGGGCGTAGGCTTATAATGCTTATAGGGTTTGGCATTACAGTATTTGTTGGGCTAGGGTTCACTTGGACTTGACGAACTCTTCTGGGACATGAACTTAATTCCAGTATCTCGTCCGGATTTCGGTTCGAAGGTTGCGAAAGTTAACCTAAGCTTGCTGAGGTGTTCCAGATCCTAGGTCCTTGTGCTCATTGCTCATACACAGAGGCCTACAACAAGGTTCCAGATGGGGCGATGGAATCCATAATAGCGCTAAGGCCCTGAACCCTGGGGCCCGGAACTCTCATCCTGTAGGTTTCATTCGGTCAGAACCTGCGAAACTGTTCGCAGCCCCTGCCCTGCTTGAAGCCCTGACCGCGAAGCTATCGTCCGGCCTGTTTTTGTTGTTTCAAAGGCTTTGCGTCCCGAAACCTTAGAGGTCTTTTCTGAAACGGACGTTTGCGGTTCCCACAAAGAACAACCGCGATGCGCCTGCACGGAGCGCTTCAAGAACTCCGGCAAGGATCCTGCGTGGGGCAAGTCGTCGTACTATAGGGGCCTTATTAATTAGGATAGGGTTTGGGGAATATTTTGCACTTTTATCATAATAAGGAACCCCCAGAACCCTATAAAGTTATGGCCCCGACATTATTGAGCATTTATCCTTCGAGGTTTTGGATTTAGGGTCTCGAGAAAATGAACCCGGAGCAGAAGCTAAACCCGGCCTGCTCCCCTCAACTCCATTGACCCCCACGATTTTTGTTGAACTCTGGATGAAAATAAACTCGAAAACATCGTCAAGTCGAGAACCGAAATGCATGCTGCAAAAAATCTGGTTTCCCATAACCGAGTGATCCAACTCATTTCCAAATGTAGAAGCAACAAGTCTCTAAAGACAAGGCAGGAAGAAACCAGAAGGAACAACATGAACACCACATGTTCTTAAATGCCCGAAACCCTGAAGTTCACGACAATGTTTGCGGCTTTCTTTGGGGCCTTGTTCCCAAACGGAGGCGCCAGGGAGCAGGAGTTCAGGCTAATCTCGGGCTCTAGCTAGTGTTCGCCGTCGCATGCGAAATCAGATTCAGGATTTGGGTTCGAGGCTTATAAGGTTTGGAGTATGAACTCGGTGATGTGCGTTAAAGGTACTAGGGTAAGATGCGAGACTCGAGAACTTGAAAACTTAGCCATGCCACAACGAAGCCTGAATCCATAAAATTACGCCGTAGCAGACGAACAAAGAGTGGCAGCCTGGAGTTTGGAAAGCAAGCTCGCCGAAGAAGGTGCCTGGGACAGGCGACAGGGGAAGCCAAATAATTTAGGGCTCTTAACAACTCACTAATTAGAATAGGGCTTTCTATTTTACTTCGAATCACGGGATTATACTGTATACTGTTGGGATTCCTTCAGTGTCACTGGCATGAAAGCCTTGATGTTCCAGCTTTCCAGCATAATTTTGGGGTCTGGGGTACGGCCTCAGAATCTCTCGCGGCCTCGCGCCCTTAATCTCGCGACCTCGGTGACGATCTGACCTCGCGGCCTTGCGGCCTCACGACCTCGCGGCCTCATGAGTCGCGGCCTCGCGGTCTCAAGACCACGCATCCGTGGCCTCGCGGTCTTGCGGCCCTCACGACCTCGCTCGCGGCCCCCTGGCCTCACCACCTGACCTCACGGCGCAGCCTCAGAACCTCGCGGCCTCACGACCTCGCAGACCGCTCGCAAAACAAAAAACGTTTGAGAAACAGAGCCAACCGCTCGAAGGGGACGAAACTGTTTGAGAAACAAGCAGGAAATGGATTCGAGTGTATGGGAAACTTGGAGCAAAAGACTCGAAAGGGACTAGATGATTTGAGAAACAAGCAGCAAACCACTCGAGAAAGACTGGAGTTTCTGAGAGCCAAGAAGCAAACGACTCGAACTGGACTACGGTATTTTAGAAAAAACAGCAAATCGTTGTGTTTAAGAAACAAGAAGCAAACCGGTCGGAAACTGACCCTAATATTCGAAGGACCAGAGGATTTGAGAAACAGGGAGCAGACTGCTGGAACTGGATTACACTTTTTTCCCTGTCGAACGGCTTTCTCACTGCGTCTCCCATACTCTAGTCCCTTTTGGGCGGTTTGCTCTTTGTTTTTCGAGTACTCTATAATCGCTTTGGAGCGGTTTGCTCCATGCTTCTCAAATACTCTCGTCCTTTTGAGCGTTAAGAAACAACCACAAGCCATGCAAGCTCGAGGGGCAAGACCTGACACCCTAAACTGTGGGTTTGGGGCTCATCTGCCGGACATGAGCCATGGAGTCTTCCTGAGGGACATGTACTTATTTCCGAAGGGCCACAACCCTTTATAAGTAAATATATAGATATATATATATATATATATATATATACGTGTGACTGCTCTAGGTAGTGTTGCTGCGATCCAGGAGCATGTCAGCTGCACTTTGCAGCGCGACGAGTCACCGCAGCTGCCTCTCACATCAGCGATGCAGTTCGTGAGGTCTCTGCGGCTCAGGGTTTGCGGTGTGTGGGGTAGGGGTTGGGTGCGCAGGCTGCTTGCGGTTTAGGTTCTACATTGCCATTTCAGGGTTTGGGGTTAACTGGACACTCCGGATGACGTGCAGCGGCAAGAGGATCACCACAGATAGTTTGTAGTTTCAATTTCGTGCAAACATGCTTTGAATGAACATGGACTGCTAGCGCTGTCTGCTGCCGAGTTGGATCAGCCGACCCACACCCCTAAGACCCCAAGATCTTAATCCTGAAATCGTCAACGTGTCTGCAGGCCCGGACGAGACCAAGCTCCAAAATCACATCGAATGAGCCAACGCACCCCCGAACCCGACAAGAGGCAAGAACCTATAACAACTGCTTCTACGAAACTCAAGAAATGCAATGCTTCTGTAGCCCTGCTGCCGAAGCCTGAAACGTAAATGCATAACACAATCTGCTGAATAGATAGAGACATCAGGGCTGTGGGTGACATTTTGCAATACCTAAAGTAAAAAGGATGAGTACGGAGAATGTCACGCCGAAGCAGCAGACCCAAGAGACCCTCTGGCACTCAGTCTACGGCTGAGCACACCCATGTCTGGGATGCCCAGAATTTCCTTGGCTGCGCCGGGGCACTGTAGGTTCTTAAGGCTTTATCGGCTTTGAGGTTTTCCGGCGCTTCGGGTTTGGGGCTCTGGGCTTTAGGATTTAGAGCTTGGGGCTCAAAGAGCTCACAGGCTTCGACATTCATTGTGAGTGCATGCAATTCTCTTTGCTTCACTGGCATGCTTTCTATGAAGACCCACAGGACCCAAAGAAGCAAACCAGCTTTGGCGACATGACCTGTGTTACCTGCAAGAAAACGGACTTACATGACAACCTATGTAGTGGTTGATCATGACATAAAAAGTTTTGGCGAGAATAGAAGACGATACTCAACTCATAAAAAACTCCCACTGCAAGTGATCCTCGCCCTGTATGACACGAACCGCTCGAACGCCCAGCGACTCCAGTCAGCAAGTCCAAACGGAAGGCCACGTGGCCTTGCACCTCACAAGTCGGAAATCTTGCAGCAGTTGCTTCGTTGTAAAGCAAGCTGAAAACGCGAACCC